ACTCAAAGTCAGCAGAACGGGAACCCATTGCTTGTTCCCACAATTAGCAGGATGTGACTTGTTGACCAGCAGAGAAAACTGTTCCTCTGGGCAAATGGCCAAGGGCCTGTGGTCTCGCATGCAAGCCAAGGTTGTCTGGTATCCTGCACGCGGTGCCAGACCTTGCAGATGGCCAAGAACCTGTGGTTTTGCACACGAGCTAAGTTTGTTATCCGGACACGGTAACAGACAGTGAAGAGAGAATGTAAACATCTTTGAAGAGCATCTCTTGTGCTTTGACTGGAGAAACAGGTGTTGTTGGCTGTGGGAAGTCACGTACCAATAAGTAGCTGGGAAAATCACTGGCATGAGAAAATAGCTGCGGGACGCCTGCCCAATTAAACTATAAAAATAAAACAACTGGTGCTTTAAGGTGCTGTAGTCTTCAACTGTCTTTGTGTCTGTGTACTTTGTTTTTCTGGGACTGCAGCCAACTCTGTCCTGTGTCTTATGTCTATGTCTTATGTGTTCATCCCTCATCCTGCAATCGGGCCATGACACTTGTGTATGTTTAGGTCCATGCAAATGGCCATTTACTGAGATGAGGAATGCTGGGGGAAGTGTATGCTGGGAGGGTGAGACATCAAGAGTCCAATTTGGACATGTTAAGTTTGAATTCCTACTGGACTTCCAGGTGGAGATGTTGACAATGGATATAGGAATTTGGAGATCAAGAGTGTTTCTGTTATCTTTTGTTGCATAATAAACCACCCTAAAACTTAGAAGTTTAAAACAGCAATGATTTATTAATTCTTACAATTCTGTGGGTTGACTGGGCTCAGCTGGGCAGTTCTGCTCTATGTGATGTCAGTTGATGACACTCATTTGATTGCATTCAGCTGGTGGCTGTGCTGAGCAGGAAGATCCAAGAAGGCTTCACTCACATGTCTGGCACCCCAGTGTTCCATGTGGCCTCTCCATGTGGTCAGCTTGGGCTTCCTCAAAGCATGGAGTCAGATTTCTTACGTAATGGCTGGTTTTCCACAGAGAACAAGAGCAGAAGCTGTCAGGCCTCTTAAAGGCTAGCTGTGAACTGACATAGCATCTCTTGCCATATCCTATTTGTCAAAACTAGTCACAAGGTCAGCACATATGTGAGGGAGGGGAAACAAACTCCACCTTTTGAAGAGAACAGTGGCATATGCCTAAAGGGATGGGAGGAATCAATACAGCCATCGTTGGAGACTAACCACCACAAAGGGAGCTATCAGGGATGGTGACATAAATTTGGAAGTAATCAAAAGTTAGTTGGTACCTAAAGTTGTGCTGCTGGGTAAGGTTGCCAATGAGAATAGGAAGGAACAGCCAATAAGATAGGAGGAGATCCAGGAGAGTGTGGTGTTGGTGAAGTCAAGTGAAACAGTGTTCCAAGAAAGAGGGATAGGCCCAGCACAGCATGGTGGCTCACGCCTCTAATCCTAGCACTCTGGGAGGCCAAGGTGGGAGGATTACTTGAGGTCAGGAGTTCAAGACCAGCCTGAGCAAGAGTGAGACCCCCTCCATCTCTACAAAAGAAAGAAAGAAAGAAAAGAAAAGAAAAACTAGCCTAGTGTGGCATGTGCCTATAGTATCAGCTACCTGGGAGGCTGAGGGAGGAGGATTGCTAGAGCCCAGGAGTTTGAGGTTGCAGTGAGCTATGATGACACCACTGCACTCTAGCCCAGGTGACAGAGTGAGACCCTTTCTCAAAAAAAGGAAAGGAGAGGAGAGGAGGGGAGGGGAGGAGAGGAGAGGAGAGGAAAGAGGAAAGGAAAGGAAAGGGGAAAGGAAAAAAGGAAAGGAAAGGAAAAAAGGAAAGGAAAGGAAAAAAGGAAAGGGGAAAGGAAAGGAAAGGAAGGAAGAAAAGGGAAGGGAAAGGGAAGGGAAAGGAGGAAGGAAGGAAAAGGAACCAGTTGTAGAAAATGCTGCTGAGAGTTTAAGTAAAAGAGATGAAGATTGACAATTTTATCTGGCCAAGTGGAGATGACTAGTGGTTTTACGAGAATAATTTCAGTGAATTTGTGGAGACATAAGCTTGACTGGGGTGGGTTCCAGAGACAGTGGGAAGAGAGGAATTGGAGACAGCTAATACAATCTTTTGGGGAGTTTGTTACACAGGGAAGCCAAGAAGTGGAGCAATAATGGGATGGGATGTAGGTCGTGGGGAGACAATGTAGCCTTCAAAGAGAGCAAGAGCCATCTACCCATTAATTAAGAAAGGAAGAGTGTATGGTCACAAATGCAAGGAGAGTGGTTAGGGGTGGTTGTGGGAGGTGTGGCCTGGTGGTGAAGGGCTAGAGTAGTCCAGGTTTAAAAAGGGCGTAAGATCATTGGAAGATGCACATATATTAACATATGCAGAAAGCATGATTCTGGGGAAAGGTGGAAGCAGAAGGACGTAACTGACAGTGTGCAATGTCAGGGTATGTGGCTGCAGAATAGGATGCAGAAACTGGGGAGGAGAGTGTGGATATATGACTCCAGGTTCAGGGAATGGCCAGTGTGGCGACTACAGAGGGGAGAAGGCAGCCTGTGGAGCAGAGGATGTCAAGCACCTGGGAGACTAGGGGTTGCTCAGCTCATACAAGGTGGCTATCAGTGTTCTCAGGAGAGCAGCAGGAGTAATGCAGAATTGAAGCCCGTGAAGAGTCAAGGTCCTTGAGGGATATGAGGGAGTGCCCCCCCCCCACCACAGAACTTGGCAATGATGACACTTAGCATGGCTTTTTTTAAGGGGGGAAAAGACATGTGTTTTTAAGAAGTGAATTTTGAAATAAAGTTAAAACAGTATTCTGGAGCGACAATGGTGACTGAGCCAGAAGCTGGCTGAGTCTACAGCCAGGATGTGAGCTCATCATGAGCTGCCTCCCTCTTAGAGGTACAAAAGGCCCCGCAGATGTCACAAGAAAGCTGAGAAAGCTGGGTATCACTAAGAATGGAGACAAAGGGGGCACTGAGGAAACTGGAAATGCACAGATATATTTTGATGATTGAACCAAAGGGATTCCAGCGATCACAGGAGGGAAATCAGCAGGAAAGGGTGTGTCGTGGAAGGGTCAGGTCAGCAGGTGCAGGGGAGGAGAGTGACCTGCAGGGGAGGGATACACAGGCAGCCAACTCTGGTTATGGTCAAGAAGGGCATAGGAAGGGAGTAGAGGGGAGCATGGTGTGGTCATGGGGAGAGGTTGGAGTTTTGGGATTCTGCTTAGCTGTGTGGCTAAGAGCTAGCGAGTTAGTACACCTTGTGTTAGGATATTTATGCAACAAGTGACAAAAAAAGCCTACTTGAATCTGGCTTAAACAATAATGAGGAGTTATTACCTCCCCTGACTAGGAATTCCAGAGGAGTAGCTAGCACCTTAGGAACTATTTGACTAAGCAACCCAATGGTGTCATCAAGGACACAGTTTCTTTATATTTCTCTGCTGTACCTTTTAGGGTGGTGGCTTCATCCTAAAACTGGCTTCACTTCATGGTCTCAGACGGCTGCCCACAACCATGGGGACTGTATGCTGCATCTTACACATCTAGAAAGAGTTTCTTTTGGTAATGTTCTCAGAAAGGTGAAAATGCATCCTTTCCATAAGCTCAGCAAATCTTTCCTGGAGTCTGGAAATACCACATGCTAACTGGTGTGCGCACAAGTTACCTGAAGCAATCACTGTGGCCAAAGGGAATTATCCTGATTGGTTTGGAGCATGTAAGGCACACTCCTGTTGTTGGGGCCGAGTCAGCTTCCCCTGGAGGACACAGCTTCCCCCTTCCCCAATAGCAAGGGGGAAAGGAAGAAGTCGTGCTGAGCAGATTACTAAGCATCGCCACATACCTCATTGAGCTGTTGGGAAAATTAAATGAATACTGTTTGAGGATGCCTTGCTTTTTCCTTCTTAAAAGGTTTTTGGAGGTAGAGATATAGAAGAAAACTGGAAGAGAGAAGAAAGGTAGTTGGAGGGAGGGTGGGGAAGGTGAGCAGAGATTTAGGGAAGGGTCCAAAACTAGATGGAAGGCATATCAAAGGCAGACGGGGCTAGAATTGATAGGTGGATGCAAATAGAACATACTTGTCTCTGAATTCTCAGAAATTAAGAGTAATATTCTTTTGGAACCTCCCAAGTTCCCCTTTCCCAAGAACTGATGAGGGCTGAGTGGGTTCATCCCTATACCTGCCTACCCTCCCAAAGTGGTCAATGGCTCCCAGCTGTGTATCAAGCTAAAGATATTTGCCTCACCCTGGGCTTCAAGACGCTCTGGAGGATGAATTCCGCCTCCTGTTAGCCTTATTTCTAATGATCCATCCATACAAACCTATTTGTGCTCCAGCTGAATTGCTTCACGATGACTTCAGGTTGCTTCACGATGGCCCCTACACCTGCTCTGCTCCTGCCTCTATGCAGGCGTTGCCTTTGCTTTGTATGTTGCTCTCCTATCTTTCCTGGCTGAAATCTTCTCATCTTGAAAGCCAAGTTCAAATGTTTGCTCTCTGATGTAGCCCTCACTGGTGCTTTCAGGTTCATGTCCTCATTCTTTCCTCCCTAGTTGCTCCCAGTATTATTGTGTGCTTGTCTTGCTCTAGATTGTCAGATTGAGGACAGTGACTGTGTCCTTCTCCTCCTCCTCATTGTATATGTTGATTCTTTATTTGCCCATTTAAAAAAATTTGTGGGTGTCTGTGTACCAGTCACCATGCATACAGAGGTGAATAAAAAAATCACTCAGTAAATATTGGTTGAGTTTAATGCTATTGAAATGGGACTTGTGCTAGCTGATAGGATTCCGGCAGTTGGGTGGAACTGCACTAGTGAATTCACTCTTCTATTGATCTTCTGTTCTCAGTATAACCATATTTGCCAAATCTCTTGCCTCCATAGGCCTTAAACTCATATAATGGCTGAGCTTCTATTGTCAAAGTGAAGCAAAGAACTGAGACAACTTAATGAAACAGCTCACAAATTGTTCAGGAAAAAAAAAATCTGCCTTTGAAATTATTGAGTCATTACAGTTTTTATTCCAGGGTCATACAAAGCACTGTCATCTGTATTATTTAGCAGTGGCTTTCAAAGCATTTTTGCCATGACTCACAGTAAAAAAAAAAAAAAAATACATTTTACATCACAACTCAGGTCATGTATATTCTTTCATTCATTCCTTCAATAAGTAGGCACTGAAGACCTACCATATGCCAAATACTATTCTATGCAGAATACAGCAGTGAACAAAGTAAAAGAGGAAGAAAGGAAAAGAGGGACAGAAACAAATCCTTGCCCTCAAAGACCTTACATACTAGTGGAACAGGCAATAAACAAAATAAGTAAAATGCACACATATAACGAACACATAGAAACAGAAGATTCATGAAATAAAACTACCTATCACTACATGTAGTACACTTGGATGTTTTCTATTTTTTTTTTTTTAAAAGCTGGTCACACCCCACTAAACCATTAAGTTGGCTTCTCAACTCAGCAGTGAGTTGAGAGTTACACTGTGAAAAATGCTGGTCTAGACAATCATGTCTGATAAAGGCAGAGCATGTGCTGTTCCCATTTTACAGATAGAATGACATGCAAAGAGAGGCTAAGTGAGCTACCCAAACTCCCTGACAATCTGAGGGAAGCAATGCTGAAGCTTTACCCCAGAGCTGCCTTTTCTATCATCTTCTGTGGTGCTCGTACTGGCTCAGTTCCCACTTCCCTTTGGTTATGAAATCTTGACCTTTGCCTGGGGCAGCTCTTCCCTCCCTTGCCAGGTAAAATGACATGAATATTTCTAAGACTACCCAGACTGTGCCGTGCCCTAGGATGCCTCTCTCGTGCCACTACTGCACTCAGGCTTGCTTTTTATAACTACCGGTGTACCAGAATAGGGGCCTCTTCACTGTGACCTCCTTAAGACAGACAGATCTCACTCATCTGTGTGTCTCCCAAAGCACAGTGCTTTACAGAACAGGTATTAATAAATACATAAGAAATTAAATTGAATTTGTAAGTGACTCAGAGCAGAGGGGTGGGGGAAGTGCTTCCTAGCCAGGACTGCAGGATTTAGGCCAGTTTTTAAAAGGCTAAGAGACTAGAAAGGATACTACTGGTAAAAAGATCCCTTTACCTGAGTTACAAAAGTCACACATTAGGTAAAGTCTTCAGTAGTGTAAAAACTATACAAATATTTTATCTCCCTAGTATCAGCAGAGATTTAGAACCATGTCAGTATGTTGCAATCAGAGAAAAGAAACAGTAAATTAAATTCAAAAATGAGGGTTACTATAAGGAGGCCCACGGATAGCTGGAGGAAACTGAGGTGAGACAGGAGCCAGAACTCCCTCAGTAGCTCCTCAGCAGGAGAAAGGCGCTCTTTGCTATAATGGTGGCCATTACAATAGAGACAGCTGCCAACTCACCCAAATGAAGGAAATCAAATTCTCAAGAATCTAAATGGCACATCCAACTCTAGAGTTGTCCACCCCTGCTTCATTTAGTTTGGGTAGAATGGGGCTGTGTGGTTGGTGAGAATATCTAGGGAAGGAAGGGGAGAAGAAACTCTTTGAAAAGAGAGAACTTTGACTAAATATTAACCCAAATTGGAATTTTAAGTTTAAATTTTGTCCTACCACCAGAGGACAGGACTCAAGGCCAAAATGAGGTCAGTTATAAAAAATTATATAAAATAGTTTATCTGTGATATAGTATAAAATATAATTTCAATCCTATTAAAAGTAAAAAAAAAAGTAGATTTTAGCTATTAATAAATGACCTCCAAGTTTTAGGAATCTATAAATCCAAGAGTATATAAATATATAATGAAAATTGTATACAATATATATTATAGAATTCTCTAACCCATGGTTTTCAGACTTTATTTTGAATCAGATTCCAATTCTGTAGGACTAGAGAAGGGCAGTGTGGACTGCATATTTAAATAAGCACCCCAGGTTCTGTTAAAAATGATGGGTCATGTTGAGAAACATGCTTAACTACTTCCTACTTAAAGGCATTAATAGGGGGCTCAACTTGCATAAGTTTTTAATTAGAACAAAAATGGACAATAAAACCACACAAGCACACCATGTATGTAGTAATACTCACTAAGAGCATGTACAAATTTAAAAACCACCACATTTCTTATAATTGTTTTTAATAGCATTTAGTCACATCGTTTATAACGGCATATGTTTATAAAAGATGTTTAAGATGGTAATTTAGTCTTATCTTGGGTTTTTGTTTAGAATTGAGGATAGGGGAAGTACTTACGAGTTCACAAAGAATATTTCGGGTTCCTATGTTAACTATACACTCAAAAGGTATACTGATACCAATCCTATAAACATCACATGTGAATGTAACTTATTTAAGCCTATTGGTTCATATGTTTAAAAAGCACCCTCATTTCTTTAAAGTTAAGTACTATAAATGGCTCTTGAAAATCTATTATGGACATGATATATTCAGTTAAACTTGCAGGGGGCTAGGGCGTGATTTTATGTGACCATCCAATTCAGAGTCTGATTTAGAGTTAAAATCAAACAGCATTTCAAAACAGTTGCTGTCATGGGCAGCATAATCAATTCCTCAGACAATACAGCTTCCAAAGCTCTCATCATCCTAGTTACCCTTCTTTTTGCTTTCACTTACTTACATATTGCTTTCTTTTAAAGAAGCAAAAAATATAAAAGTTCACTGAAATTCTGAAAGTCACTGTTTGTATAGCACTGAATGATAGTAGCTTTGGTATTTGGTATTACAAAGTCACTTTCATCACAAATATTTCCTTCATTCTGGGTCAAGGCGAGGTAAAACAGGAAGAATAAGATTCCCAAATGCAGAGTCTTGAGTTATGAAGTATCCAGATGAATGCGCGTGAGCATGCTGGGAAAGATTAAAAAAAAAAAAAAAGGCAATTAAGCTACTAAGAGTCACAATTTTTTAAACCAAGGCATTAAAATTACTTATCCTTTCTGAATGCTTGAGACCAAATTTATTTAAAAATCAGTTCTTATGCTGCCAATTTTATTTAAACACATGGGAGATGGATAATACTACAAAATTTGGATTAACAAATTGCACCAGGTACACATTTGTCATCCCATTATCTCCCCAGTGATTCTCTTCAGTCAATAAATGAGTCAAAGACATGAATTGCTTTGTTCCTTGGAGGGAGGAAAATTAGCCTTAAAGGGCCCAAAGTACTCTGCTCTTGATCAACAAAGCATGAGCCTGAGAAAGAAGGGAAAGAAAGCTGGAAGGAGAGGGGAGAAAAGGAAGTAATTACTGGTGATTAAAATACCAACATTTTGTAGAGAATGTTGGAATGTAAATAACAGAAAACCACCAGTGACTTCCCTCTGTCATTAGAAAAAGGACTGTTTTTAGGTCATCTAAAGTGAGATGGTCTTTATAATGTCCCTTCCAATTCTGGGATTATAAGGTTTAAAAGTAGAGGCAATTAAATTATGCCTAGGAAAAAAAAGATGTCTTGTTCAAGGTCTCTGGGAATCTTAAATTATCCAAGATGAATATTAACACTAAAACCATTTATTGGGCCGGGCGCTGTGGCTCACGCCTGTAATCCTAGCTCTTGGGAGGCCGAGGCGGGCGGATTGCTCAAGGTCAGGAGTTCAAAACCAGCCTGAGCAAGAGCAAGACCCCGTCTCTACTATAAATAGAAAGAAATTAATTGGCCAACTGATATATATATAAAAAATTAGCCGGGCATGGTGGTGCATGCCTGTAGTCCCAGCTACTCAGGAGGCTGAGGCAGGAGGATCGCTTGAGCCCAGGAGTTTGAGGTTGCTGTGAGCTAGGCTGACGCCATGGCACTCACTCTAGCCTGGACAACAAAGCGAGACTCTGTCTCAAAAAAAAAAAAAAAAAAAAAAAAAAAAAAAAACCATTTATTACTCTGAAGAATATTTTTTTAAACTGGTGAAGCATCACATTCCTAATCCTACAGTAAGAGTTAGCTTTAAAATATTTCCTGCATAAGTCACGCTGACCATTTAAAAAAAATCCAAACAGGCCGGGCGCGGTGGCTCACGCCTGTAATCCTAGCTCTCTGGGAGGCCGAGGCGGGCGGATTGCTCAAGGTCAGGAGTTCAAAACCAGCCTGAGCAAGAGCAAGACCCCGTCTCTACTATAAATAGAAAGAAATTAATTGGCCAACTGATATATATATAAAAAATTAGCCGGGCATGGTGGCGCATGCCTGTAGTCCCAGCTACTCAGGAGGCTGAGGCAGGAGGATCGCTTGAGCCCAGGAGTTTGAGGTTGCTGTGAGCTAGGCTGACGCCACGGCACTCACTCTAGCCTGGGCAACAAAGCGAGACTCTGTCTCAAAAAAAAAAAAAAAAAAAAAAAAAGAGACTATCAAAGGATGTAATGACAAATTTGAAAAAAATATATGTACCATTAAAATAGCCAGTTCAATTTTTAAGATCATTCCTGTCCATCCAACTATCCTAAACTCTTTTGTGCACAAGCAATCCCTTGGCAGGTTCAACACAGAATCAATCATGACCGGGTCGACACCATAAAAGATACTTTCATTACTGCTGTATTGGTCCTTCAAATCCTTTGGGCATGATTGAACATCAGCAAACCATTGCAATTATGTGTGGAACATTTTTATTGATATTGCTCTACTGAAATATAAAATAACTACTGTGCTGGCTTCTAAGACCCAGGAAATCTCCAATGAGACAAGAATGTCAGTTACACTTTGCTTACCTGCAAAGCTGCCTTCTGCTGAGCTGCAATGTGCTGCTGCTCGGCATGGTCCCGGAAGTCCTTGTTCAGAGAAGGTCTGGAGAGTGCGATGCTGAAATGGGAATCTCAGTTACTTGGCTACTTCAGGCAGAGACATCCTTACTTTTTCTTTTTCTTTTGGTAACAGCACATTATCTTTTTTTAACTGAGGTATAACTGACAAATAAAAATGGCATATATTTACAGTGTACAATATGATGTTTTGATATTTGTATATACTGTAAAATGGCTAAATCAAGCTAATTAACATATCTATCACCTCATATACTTAACATTTTTTGTTGTGGGAATATTTAATATCTATTCTCTTAGCAGTTTTCAAGTATATATCATTAAATATAGTCATCATGCTGTTCAATAATCTCTTAAAGTGATGTCCTTCTGAATCACATCTTTCATTATATATTCCTTTTTTTTTTCCAACTTTTTAACTTATCTGTATTTGTTACAAGTTTTGAGTGGATTGTGACTCAGGCACTACACTTCTACTCACAAGCCTCACTTTTCAAAACAGTTTTACAACACATATGGGTAGGGCTTATAATTTTGCTCCTCTAAACAATACTTCTTTGGAAAACAAGCCCTGTGTAGAGTTTCAAGTTGCTTTACTTTAAACTTACTTATTTATAGAGGACTAGTAGTACATGCAATATATTCTTTAAAAGGATAAAAAAGATCTCCCAGAATTAAGTCTTGTTTCCTTCTCCCGCTATTTACATTGATTTATGTGAAGAAAGCCTATGTTATTGATTAGGATTTCAAATGAATTTTCAAAAAAATTTATAGTTTATGGTCCCTACTTCAAACAGATTTGAGGTACTACATACAGTCTATCATAATCCCTATTAATTACTATTAAAATAATTAAATCACATGATATTCATCAACAGTAAAACCACATTTTTTTGTTTGTATAATAATTAAATGATCATAACCATGTTCCACATAGACTGAACTGTTAAGAATAATCAAGCTCAGAGGTACTTTTTCACCAGATTCTAGAGCAGCTACTAGATGCTTACCACTGTGTTAAACACGAGGAATATGATAATATGCCAGGGAAAGCTCACAGATGATAGCAATTATGATGAGATGTGATATATGCTATAAAGGGGGAATAAGGACACTTAATATAGTAATAGCTGAAAGGATAATGGTCAGGGAAAACATTATAAAAGGTAGACCTTATCCTAAGAGTAATAGGAGTCCTCAGAAAAGTGTTAAGTGGCAGGGGAGTGACATGATCAGAATATCACGTTGTGGTTCAGGAAGACCACTACTGACAGTGTTGGTCACCTCCTTGACAGCTGTTTATCTCCTTCCTCCTTGCTAATGGAACCCAAACTTGGTTTAATTATTAGCAGTCAGATGCTTTAGGGCAGGTCAGGCTCATGCCACAGGTGGCGGACCTTGATTGGTATAAGATAATGCCATTCCCCTTGCTAGTTTTTGATTTAGGCAAGAGAAAGGTACACAATCTAAGAAACCAGACTTGATGGGTAGTCTGTTAGAAGGCTTCTAAGAATGTTTTCCTCCCTCTTACAAATAGGACATAGCATAGGAACCTTTCTGGTAGCTCAGTGTGGAGCTGATGACTAGGCCACTGCAGTCATATTTGGACCTGAGCCACTGACCCATGAAGGCAGAAAGGAAAGATGAAGGAAGCTGCATCACTAATGACATTGTTGTGGCCACTAAATTAAGCCACTCTGAAACTACCTTATTTTTACACTCCTGGGTAACATATATACTGATATTTATGCCAATTTTGTTGGTTTTCTGTTACTGCCAGAATAAAACATCCTAACTGACAAAATTGATGAATGTATTCAAGAGGAATAAGACCACAGGAAATTTAGTGAAGAAGCAGTTGTAGTAATTGAGGCTAGAAATGAGAGCGGCCAGGAACCAGGATAGCATCAGATATCCTGGATAGCAATGAAGAAACATGGACAGATTTGAGATACATTTAAAGTAGAATTACAGGAAAATGGTAAATGCTTAGAGATGGAAGTGAAAAGAAATAATAAACAACTGAAGTTCACATTTCTGAATTTGGTAACTAGTACATGGTAGATTGTGCCATTCACGGAGCCAGGGAACCTAAGAATATTAAGTAGTTAGTTGGAGAGAGGGAAGGGAGAATGAGTTCAGTTTGGGACATTCTAAATTTAAAATGCTTGTTGGACATCAAAGTAGAGCTGTCTAAGAGGCAGTGTGGTACTTAGAAGGACTGGACTAGACCTGCAAATGTTTCCGTTATCAGCACATAAGTAACATGTTGTGGGAGCGGATGCACCTGTCCAATGAATAGATATAGAATGGAAGGCCTGGTCTAGAACTCAAAGGAATGTCAACAGTCAAGGGACAGGCAGTGGAGAAATGCCTGCAAAAGAAATCAAGATAGTCTCCTCCTGTTGGTTTTTATGTTCAAAGAGTGAGCAAATGGCAGCCAAGGAAAGAAAGAACTTAAAGAAAGAGGGAGTAATCAGTGGTGTCAAATAACACCAACATGTTTGATAAAACAAGGTTTCTGGTCTGCTAGACCTGAGTCTACAAGGAGGCTACAAGTGACCTAGGCAAGAACATATTCTTTGGTGGAAGGAAAAGGAGGGCCTGGAAGTCAGACTGCAGTGGGCTGAGGAGTGAATAATTGAGTAAGTACAGATGAGTACAGACAACTACTTTAAGAGAAAGTAAGAGAAAGAGAGAGAGGAGAGTTAGGTTGGTGACTGAATGGGATGATGGATCTGAGGGAAGATACTGAATATGGCAGAGACTAACTATGTATAATAAAGAGGATTAAGCTACCTAAATTTAACCTACTTTGCAGAATGATTAAAAAGTGGGCCACTGGCAACAATATATATATATTTTTGAGACAGTCTCACTTTGTTGCCCAGGCTAGAGTGAGTGCCATGGCATCAGCCTAGCTCACAGCAACCTCAAACTCCTGGGCTCAAGCAATCCTGCTGCCTCAGCCTCCCAAGTAGCTGGGACTACAGGCATGTGCCACCATGCCCGGCTAATTTTTTCTATATATATTAGCTGGCCAATTAATTTCTTTCTGTTTATAGTAGAGACGGGGTCTCACTGTTGCTCAGGCTGGTTTCAAACTCCTGACCTCAAGCAATCCGCCCGCCTCAGCCTCCCAGAGTGTTAGGATTATAGGCGTGAGCCACTTCGCCCAGTCCGCTGGCAACAATTTCAGTAACAAACACCATACAAGACTCTTTTTTTTTTTTTTAAAGAAAGCCATACTGAAAAAAAATTTTTTATTTTATTTTATTTTATTATTTTATTTTATTTTATTTTGAGACAGAGTCTCACTTTGTTGCCCAGGCTTGAGTGAGTGCCGTGGCGTCAGCCTAGCTCACAGCAACCTCAAACTCCTGGGCTCAAGCGATCCTCCTGCCTCAGCCTCCTGAGTAGCTGGAACTACAGGCATGTGCCACCATGCCTGGCTGATTTTTTTCTATATATATTAGTTGGTCAATTAATTTCTTTCTATTTATAGTAGAGACGGGGTCTCGCTCTTGCTCAGGCTGGTTTTGAACTCCTGACCTCGAGCAATCCTCCCGCCTCAGCCTCCCAGAGTGCTAGGATTACAGGCGTGAGCCACCACGCCCAACCTGAAAATTAAATATTCATATTAGAATATTTAGAATTTAATTAATTAAATCGTTTAATTTTTAAAAGTCTAACTAGAAAATGAAGAAAGCCAGAATATGTCACCCAAAATATGTCTCTTTGACATAAAGAAATCAATTAAGCAGCAGCAAACTAAGGGAAAGCTCTCTCTATCCTCCCCTCTTTCTGCCTAAAACCAGGGTATAAATTCTCCTTTACTGGAGGACAACTCTAGATTCTTAATCCAGAGACAGCACCAGAGGAATCTGCAAACAAACCTTACTCCATTAGTTTTCTCCCATATATTTACCTTCTTCTCACAGCTTCCTACCCTTGGAAGCTTAAAATCCCTTTCCTTTGTCCGATCATTTCTCTACAAATTTATTGCTCTTTGTTGAAGATGGTAAGTGCCATCCAAGTCACCATTTTGAGTTACTTTTCATTGAGGTTTCTCTTGTAATAATGTGCACTGCACACATTAATAAACTTATTTTTCTCTTATTAATCTGTCTTTTGTTACAGGGTCCCATCCTAACTAAGAACTAAGATGGGTAGAGGTAAAGTCTAGCCTCCCCTACAGAAACAAAACACAACATATAAATTGCAGTGTTAAAGAAAGAAACCACTGCCCACCAATTTGAGTTACCTGGTCCAATAAATTTTTTATATCACTGACTGTAAAAACATTATTCTTCTTTAAAATTTGTGTACCTAACAAAAATAAAGTAAAATAAAATAAATATTTCCATCTATTCTCCTAAAAATATAAATAGTAGTCAATACCTAGCTCCAGGATGAGTTGTTGAAGATTGGTTCTGCATAAGTAATTTTCTTTTCTCTTTGTCCAGTTCTGCCAAAATTGCAACTCTATTTTTGTTTTGAAAACCTACAAAAAGAGAAGAGGATAGAGGAGAAAAGAAAGAGAGAGAGAGAGAAATGAGAAACATTTTAGATCTATTTTATATACCTAGGCCATCTAGAACTCAGAAAGCAAAATTCCTACTCTCTAACATGATAATGAACTCACTAGTAAGTACTTTTCCTAAATGGTTACTTTTCTCCTCCTGCCTATTTCCCAGCACCTTTAATAGCATAATACATGGATATATATGCAAAGTATAATATATATTATATTTAGAGTATAATACTGACTGAAGCCTTTTAAGACTGGTTTTAAAGAATTTTTATCACCAAGGTATAAGTTACAGCATTTATTTTTTAACAAAATCTTTGAGCCCCAAAATGCTCAGGGACCAGTCTCTATCCTGCACATTAATCTCTGCAAGTGAAGATTTTCTAAGTCCTCAATTTTAGGCCTCTTTGTGAATGCCTCTTTCATGGGGGAAAAAGCATTAGACATACTCTCAGATCAAAACAGTATTTCTTTTTCTCAACTGCTTCCATTTAGAAATGACACACAATCTTTCAAAGAACATGTCAAAAAATTGCCAACTGACCAGAAAGCAATCCTGAGAAAGAAATGGAGCATAACTGACAGGATACTAAGAGAAATGTCCTTGAGCTGGGCACGGTGGCATGCACCTGTACTTGAGCCTAGGAGTTTGAGTCCAACTTGGGCAACACAAACAAAAAGAAAACAAAACAAAATAGCTATGTCCTATATCAAACACTTAATACTGAGCTTGATTTTGAGCTTCAAACTTTCATAACATCTAGAGCAAAGGTTGCAAAGTCCTGAACCAGGAGCAGCACCCAGCTATGTTTTAGAAATCTGAATTAAAAACCAACATGTCAGCAATGAGAAACTGCACAGTAAATTCTCAGATTTCTAGCTTCTCTTGAAACATAAATCTGGCTTCTCTTGAAACATAAATCAAAATCTGGCAACAAGGGATTGGTATGTCCTCATGGCAACAATTAACTAGAACTAAGAAATAATGGTCCTCTTTAGCTGGGCACTCTTCAGCTTATTACAATCCCAATCCTGATCCCTAATTTAGAAGAAAACAAATGGAAGGATTAAAGGACTGGACAGGTCTGCAGAAAAAAAAGAAAACGATTATGACTACAGCTCAGGAGACTAGAATCGCCAGGCTAGAAGAATGAATACAGGGGAGAGGGCACCCACACATGAGGGATTCTAAAAAGTTCACGCTGATTATAAAGAGGAAGAACTGGTAGGATGTATACTTCCTCCTCTCCTGGGGTGCTTGATGACATCTGGTGCCAGAAGTGTTGTGTTGAGTGAGAGTAGAGAGTAGGAAAAAGAGTTTGGTTTTTCCTCTGTCTCTCAGAGCTGGATTAAACGCTTCCTTAGGTAGGAGGCTTCTCCTGAGACATGCCTGTCTATAGGGTAGTGGAGCGAGTAATCATGGGGCTTGTAAAGGCCCCATGGAGCTTCTTCCCCCTGAAGACTAAGAGGTTGGGCAGGAAAAGGGTATTGGAGTTAGGATGAGGGTAGATGAAGAATCACCTGGAAGGCTCATACAACTCTCTTCAGAGGTACCAGAATGTATTGTGAATGATCTCATTCAAAAAGAGGGAGCCTGCTATTAGCAGAATTTGGTGATATAGCGTGAGTGGGCAGAGGGGGAAAATAGGAGATGACAGATTCCTAAAATGGAGGTGCCAGAAACACATTTGCCTGTAACCCCGGCCACAGCCAGTATGCTAATGCCAAATTGAAGAGCAGATTTAGTTGAAAACACTGCCAATTTCAGCTGTTTCTAGTTCAGCCCAATCTCAGTAAGAACGCTCCTTACACAGCCTACACCATCCTGGCCAATCTCTGCCCCTCTCCCCAGCAGAGCATCTTCACATGTTCAGCTATCCAGAACCTCGTCTGAACCCTGTCCTTCTGGGGGTTTATGGAGGCTTCATTAGATAGGCATGGTTGATTAAATCACTAACCACTGATTAACTCAACCTTCAGTTCTTCCCCCTCAGAGGTCAGAGGGTGGGGCTGAAAGTTCTCTAATTGCAGGTTGGTTCCCCTGGCAACCAGCCTCCATCCAGAGCCCACCAAGAGTCACCTCATTAGAACAAAAGACACTCCTATAACCAAGAAACTACAAAGGTCTTAGGAGCTCTGTGTTAGGAAATGGGATAAAAGACCAAATATCAGAACAAAAGATCCTAGTGCTCAGGAAGTTACAAGGGTTTTAGGAGCTCTATGTCAGGAACCAGAGGTCAAAGACCAAACCTATATTTTTTATTATATCACAATATTACAACAGTTAAATTTCATGAAAGTACTATTTACACAATTGGTTATTTCTAAAAGGACAGTAAGAAGGTATGTTTCTATCTCAATTTAGGATATGAATTAATGAATTTAGAAGAAATGAGGCAGAACAGTAGTAGGTAATATCGAAGTTTGAATCAATGAAAAATTCCTCTCAGTCTCAGTATCAGACTTCTGAAAGCATCATCACGTATGGAAATCCTTTCATAAACAGTTGTTACTTGCTTAGGAGAATCTGCTTAAAGTCTCCAAAGGTAGGCAAATTAATTCATGTTAAATGAAATGGTTAGGCCAAGCTCAGTGGCTCACACCTATAATCCTAGCACTCTGGGAGGCCGAAAAGAGAGAGATTGAAGATTGTACCCCAACTCCTGACCAACCACTGCCATGTGACGTGCAATTGTTTATCTTAGTATTAATATCTTTCTTCAAGACAAAATGGAGTTAAGAGATCCCTCAGATTCCCAGTTTAAAGACAATGCTGATCAGATAACTATTTTGAAAGCAGAAAAATGGACTGTCTCTTTCTGGCATTTTGGAATACCATAGTGACTCTCATTTAATGGCTGTATGTCTCCCTAGAAACAGCCACAGAGAAGACCATTGTTCTGCAGACTTCAATAATGTTTGAATTCCAGGCTACAGTATTCTTTTTCACTGATTTTCTGAATTTCTAGGTATCTTAATATGTGAGACATCTTTCAGGAAATTTTTTATTTGCATTATTATTTTTATTTAAAAGGATTCTTTCTCTGTAATAGTAAATCAGAATTAAATTTAATATGTACAGTAGTCACCCCTTATCCACGGTTTCACTTTCTGCGGTTTCAGTTACCTGTGGTCAACCATGGTCCAAAAATAGTTGAGTACAATAAGGTATTTTGAGAGAGAAAGACCACATTCACCATAACTTTTATTATAGTATAGTTATAATTATTCTATTTTATTGTTATTGTTGTTAATCTCTTAACTATGCCTAAGTATATATGGGATTCAGTACTATCTGCAATTTCAGGGCATCCAGTGGGGTTCTTGGAACGTATCCCCCAAAGATAAGGAGGGACTAGACTACTGCATAGATGCTTGTCCACATAATACAACAAGTAGAATGGGGTGAAAACTCAAAACATTTTATGCATTAGAAATTTAAGTTGCATGTGTGCGTCCATCAATTACTTGGTCAGCCACATGAATTCTGATTGAATAGTCTAATTATTTAAACGAGAGATTCCAAAACTTTCCCAGTTCACAGTGTGTCCTCAGTATCTCAGCAATTTTTGCATGACACCCGCCGGACACAGAAATACTTAACAGTTCTGCTTAGTAAATAGTTAGGTCAAACAACCTAATAAGTATTTATGTCCTACCATCTTGTAGTTGTTTTTAGAAATGATACATATAAATTCAAAGAAAAAATGTTTAATTTCATTTTAAATAACCATAATCTCTTATTAATGGGCGTGTGCCTGGGCACTGCACAATTTTTGAAAACCTGGAATCAGTTCAGATACCACCAATCCTCACTCCCTATTCCATACTGATTTCACACCAATACTTGTTATCAAAGCAATTGCCAAAAACCCAACTTTGTAAGATATGTCATTGAAAGGAATACAGTGCACTATTGAAACTGTAAACTACTTGAAACTATTTCATGTGGGTGTCAGCAAATGTAAGTATTACTGTGTTTCATTTGAAAATAATTTTCCATGAGGCCTCTAGGATCTCCATGGTGTCCTAGGGATGTCATGGTGTACAGTTTGCTAACCACAGCTTTAGGCTTTTTCTTCAACACTAGCAAAGCAAATGAATGGCACTTTCTCTCCCCATTTTATCATCCCCAAAAAGGATTTACAAATAGGTACTATACAAATAAAAGGTATAATAAAATATCTTCTAACAATTAAATAGCCTCATAGATTTAGATGTTTTTCTCCAATAAGTATGGCCATCAAAACCATAAGTATCGACTCATGTTTATATAGGATATTATACAAACATAATTACTACAAGAGAACTTTTATGCATTAAGTTAAAACTTATTACATTGCCTATTATTGACTATTTTCTACCTACAAAAACAATTTGATAGGATTCACCAACTTTTTTATAATTACATATTTATAGGTCTTGCTTCATTTGGTCAAGGAATAGCCTCATTTTTAAAATTTCATGTATGTTTGACAATCAGAGAGCATAGGTAGCTATAGTTATCTTCCTGTTATGCGGAAATCAATGTGAAAATCTGTAACTGTAGGCTCTAAACTAGTATTAATACAATTCCTTTGGCTGTTAGTCACTATATATTAATATAGTTTATAAAGCAGCTGATAGTAGACTCTGTTGTTCTCAAATTTGTTTACTACCTCATAGTGAGCCTATAAACCAAATAAATAAATCATACTCTGACAATGGATCAAATGGGAAAGTGTAGAATATAGTATTATTGATTTTATACAATAGAATTTCTCCTAAAGTTAGCTAATACAAATTAAGGTAAGATAATTATGGAAAGACTCAAGTATACTGGAATGTGTTATTTAGAGGAATCCAAAAGTGAGTTCTTGTAAAGTGAAGAAATGTTTTCCAAGGAAAATTAGTATTCTCTCATTTATATATATGAATTTTGCATATGTTTAAGGCAGTGCACACCTAGCTTACATTTCTAACAAATAGGACAAGACTTATTTCCTTTATCAGAAGAGGCTAATGCATTTTTAGAAGAGAATTATGTGGTTCCATTTTTTAGAGTTTTAGAGATACTTTAAATATAAATAAAAATTATTGAAAGCAAATTTTAAATCTGATAATATCTAAATTTTGTGATGATCAAAATAAGTCAACTACACTGGGAAGTCCTGATGTGCTATTTACAGAAATATCAATCTCCCTCAAGATTATTTGTTTTACACAAAAATATTCTGGGCCACTGTCAGTAAAGTAATTGTACAATAGAAATTATATGAAGTATAGACAATAATGAAAAAAGCATTAAAATGACAACATAAAGATAATCTGGTCATCACATGCATATGATACAATGAGTTTTCTCAATGCCCTTCAATGTATATAAACTTATATAAATTATTTTTTAAATGTCTACAATCTGATTAGTAATATTGAAAATTACAATCTCACAAAAATATTTTTGTTTCCAAAGCACCTAAGAGACAGCATTAGAAAGAGGAAATAAGCTGTATAAAAAGCTCATATTCCAAATAATACAAGGATTTAACAAAAACTTTCAAACTAGCACTACGAACTTGTAATCCTAGCACTCTGAGAGGCCAGGTGGGGGATTGCTCAAGGTCAGGAGTTTGAAACCAGCCTGAGCAAGAGCAAGACCCATCTCTACTATAATAGAAAGAAATTAATTGGCCAACGAATATTCTAGAAAAAATTAGCCGAGCATAGTGGCACATGCCTGCGGTCCCAGCTACGCGAGGCTGAGGCAGGAGGATCGCTTGAGCCCAGGAATTTGAGATTGCTGAGAGCTAGGCTTGACGCCATGGCACTCGCTCTAGCATGGACAAAAAGTGAGACTCTGTCTCAAAAAAAAACCACAAAAAACAGTAATTTTTAGAGTACTAAAAATTTACAGACAGTAAGAGTATAATATATTATGCAAATGATTTTCAAATAAAACAACAGGCTGTCACGTTAGGGTAGCTGGATTGATATTGTTTACAGGATTTTTTTTTAATGGAAGAAAACCTTGAGTTCAATAAAATACTTTTCAAGATATATAAGACTATTCAATTGCTCTGCTTCTGTTTAACATTTCAGAACAAGGTTGAGCTTTTTTTTTTTGAGAAAGTCTCCACTTTGTTGCCCAGGCTAGAGTGAGTGCCATGGCGTCAGCTTAGCTCACAGCAACCTCAAACTCCTGAGCTCAAGTGATCCCTACTGCCTCAGCTCCCGAGTAGCTGGGACTATGCGCCGACCATGCCGGGCTATTTTTTTCTATATATATATTAGTTGGCCAATTAATTTTTTTCTATTTATAGTAGAACAGGGTCTTGCTCTGCTGCAGGCTGGTTTCTAACTCTGACCTCAAGCAATCCACCCACCTCGGCCTCCCAGAGTGCTAGGATTACAGGCGTGAGCCCAGCCGCGCAGGCCTAGGTTGAGCTTTAAATAAAATTTATTCTCCCCCCTCTCTCCATTTTAACAAGAAGTTTGCCAAGTAGTCAAAAGGGGTTGGAGGAGGCATTCTGGACCGCGGGAGCTTCATATAGAAAGATATAACAAAGGCTTCCCAGAAAGTATCCGCAGCGCATTGTTAATATAACCAGAACGGTTACACGGCTGTATACTTTCCTGACAGCCCATAAGTCAATATAATAGCGTTACTGGGTAACAGAACGCTTGTAGTGAAGAAAATGGTAGACAGAAAAGATTTAGTAATGTTAACGTTAAATTGGACTGCCAATGAGGAACATATGATCCAAAAGAAACACGCTTTCCTGTTCTGTTACCACAACGCCAGCAACAATGCCTCCTCCTTATTGTCAACTCCCACATGGAACAGATTTTTGGTCTCTAATAGCTATTCCCCATTAAAAAGGAACCAGAGTTTTTGGGAGAACACTAGTTCCATGTCTTAGGTCAGGGGGGAAAAAATCAAGATGTGCTTGGAATATTTTGACAGAAGCAAGAAGACTTTTAAAAAAAGATCCAAGATAGTGCAAAGGACAAAAAGCCGAGTTTGAGTGCAGCCGGCTATCACAATTTGAACATTAAAAGAGAATAACAATAATTACAGCTAAATGAATGAGTCCGTGATAAGCTATGAATTCATAATGAGATACAAAAGGGAAAGTCTCCCAGCAGCTGGAATATAGGCCTGAGCCACCAGGCCAGCGCCACACACGATTTCAAAGGAGATCCAGTGGTGTTGAGCACCCATGGTTACACACAATGACCAAGTAGAAACTGAGTTCTAACGGGGGGAATCAGTCGAATACCCTAAAGACAGCTACTAGCACAGACCTGATCCTGATCTTCTTGAAGAGGAGATCTGTATAATTCCTGGCAATAATGCTACCAGAAAAAGGCAATTCATAATGATAACAAACAAATGGGTTAAGAAACACTGGTACACACAAAAAAAAGAGTATTTCATATTCCAATTCAGGAAAATAACTCCAAGTTGCCAAGAAACTATGTCTACGAGAAAGGCATGAGTTTTAAAAAAATAGCAATAACTTAGCAGTGTAAAGTATATTATAAAAGGAATCAATG